TTAGCTATTCTTTTGAAATGCCATTCAAATGGCCTTCATATCATTTAATTTTCAATTGTTAGATTCATTTGGGCAAAACAAATTGGTATCCAAAGAAATCAAGAAACCTCATTCCTTGCAGTCTGCTGAATCAAAAGACCTAATATGCAACAGTAACAGGAGTTCATATCTGAGTCAAAATGTAAAAATATATTTCCATTTGCATTTTCTGTTTTATGGTAGATTAGAAAATAATGACATTTTAAAATGTGTAAAACTATGAAAACAAGATACCAGCTAGAATCAAAATTAAAATAAAAAAAAACTGTTGCAAATGCAAAAATAAAAAATAACAGACTTCTAAGTACAGAAAGAATACAGTTCTATTCTAGAAGGGGGGCATTATTCACAAACTAATGTGAATCCCTAAGTTAGAAGCTGGACAAGGAAAGAAACTCCACTGGTCTTGGTGTGGTTCATGCATTTTTGACTGCAGAGCAGAGTTGTGGAAGTTATAAACCAGAAAAGAAACATGTGGAACTTTTCAAGGTTATTTAATCCAGTCCCCTTCCTTTAGGCAGATGAACTCCCGAGGCGATAAAAAAGAACTGTATAGTTGTTGATCCTATTTTAAAGTACTCTAGAGAGGGAGGGTTCAGGACATTCCCTCATATACTTTTTCCAGCTTTTGTTAGCCTCAAATGATGCTTACATGCAAATAAATCCAGAAACTACCAATCAATTCAAAATGGTTCTGCTAAATCTGGAAATAATATTTCTTTTAGTATGCTGATGATGGAAAAAAATTTTTCTCCTCTACTTTCCTCAATACATTCTTTTTTTCTTATACATGTTGATGTTACCGTTTCCCTGTTTCTCTGACCCTACAGTAATAGAGTATAACCAAATTTATAATGCCGGTTTGTAACATTTAAAATAAAAATTACCTTATATTTTTTATGTTTTACAATGAAAGATATACCCCATGTCTTAACTGGATAAGAATAGAATCACAGATTTTTAGCATCAGATGAGATATTGAAAGTAATAGATTCCACATTCCTACAAAATTTCTGTTTGGACAACTTCAATGATAAGGAACTTAATATGTCACTATGCACCCCATGAAATTTTCTGGAAAATTTAATCTATCCTTATATAGTATTTATCCTTATATAGTGCTGCAACTATACCACTATTTCCTTATAAGGCAATTTGGGGCTTTTCATTATTCCTTGTTAAATTTCATCTTCCTAGATTTGGTTTATTATACCAATATGCTAAGAAAAACTGGATTTAACAGTATCATCAGGTGTATTTACTATCACTGCCAGCTTTATGTCATGCTGTCTATATCCTTATTCATCCATTCATCAACATACTAAAAAAACAATACTAAGGACAGAAATCTATAGATCATTTACAAATCCACAGAGAAAATCACCATGCAAGAGAGATGTCATAATATACGATGTCTGTAGCATTTCTACGTTGTGAAAGTATAGATTATTAATGAAAAAACAAAATAAAGTTAGATTAACCTTTAATCTTAGAGTTTATGTTAACATTAGTTATCACTTATCTTACTTATAAGACCTCACAAACCACTTTTATACATTTCAAGTCAGTTGGAACAGTACACAGAGGAAGTAGTCATCTCTCGGGATGACGTCATGGATGTTGAAGGCTTCCCACTGAAAACATGTCTCCAAGGGACATTAATACCTAAAATACTGTAATCATAGACCTCTCCTTTGGGAACTGGCTCTTTTAGAATACAAATATTCTTTAATTAACTCACATCAATAACATACCTTCATGTCCATGAACTTATAGATTTTTTCTTCAGCATGGTTTTGGTGAAAGAGTAAGGAGATACTCTTTAATCTGACAAAGAATTAAGTGATGGCTGGAGAAAAAAAACAGATCAGAGGAGAAGGCTTGGTGTCTATTATTTTTTCTCTTTATGTTTTCTTCTTTCCTCACTCCTTTGCTGAAAGCTCATTACTTGTCAGACTTGCTGGAACCATCTAACTTGCTATAGCAATTAATCAAGCAGCCTCAATACTTCTTTTCTCCACATCAGGAGGTGAGTATTGATGATAGCTCATTGTCATGGTACTTCTCTATTCATAATAGGACATATGTACAAAAAATTCCAAGCTTACATTATCTTTTCTTCATTCATCACTTCCTCTCCTCTTTCTGTGTTCCCCATTTTATTTCACTCACTTGCAGTCTGCTTCCCACGTTAAGTTCCTCATCTTTGTGATGGTTAATTTTATACGTCAACTTGACTGGGCCACAGGGTACCCAGATATTTGCTCAAACATTATTCTGGGTGTGTCTGAGATGGATTTTTTTGGACCAGTTTAACAATTGAATTGGTTATCTGGTAAAGTAGATTGCCCTCCCTAATGTGGGTGGGCCTCATCCAATCAGCTGAAGGCATGAATAGAACAAAAAGGCTCTTCTGTAAATCAAAGGGAATTCCTCCTGCCTGACCGCCTTTGAGCTGGGACATTGGTTTTTTCTTGCCTTTGGACTTGATCTGAGACACCAGCTCTTCTTGGGTCTCAATCCTGCCAGCTTTTGGACTGGAAATACACCATCAGCCCTCCTGGTGCTCAGGCCTTAGGACTTGTACTAGAACTACGCAGTTGGCTTTCCTAGGTCTCCAGCTTGCCGACTGCAGATCTTGAGACCTGTCAACCTCCATGATCACATGAGCAAATTCCTTATAATAACTCTCCCCACCTCCATCCTATTGGTTCTGTTTCTCTGGAGAACATGACTAATACATCTGGTAACTTCTGCCTATGCAGCTCTGGAACTAAGTCTCATTTTGACCTGGGTTCCACCAGATGCTGCCAGCCACCTGTCTCCTTAGAGAGCTGAGTAGCATCCACCTAGATTGCTTATGGCTGTACACTCTTTATGTTTTGAGCAACATTTTCCCTTAGTCCCATATCTTTGTGGACCACTATTTGTCTGATCCAGGCTTCATATGGCTATACTTAGGATGTCTTATATTATCCACAGTATTGACCATCTCTAGCTTTGCTCCTTCTTCAGTGTCTATTTGGTCTCTCTCCTTTACTCATGTATCCTGTTTTGAGTTCACCATCAATTCACAATGATAAAGAAAGTACAGTTTGTGAATGGATACAAGAAGCCTCTGGAAACTCCCCCCTTCCACTGTTCCATTCTGCCTGCAATTAAAATAAATCTGTGTAGCAATGATGATAGGCTTTTTATGTGAGGTTTACAGTAGTTAGTGTTGTTTGTTAGTACAGAACAAGTGCTAAAGATAGAAATACTATATGCCAAACAGTCTTCCATCTTATTTAAAGGACCAACTAACTATAGTCTCTGAATGATGCTGTATGATGGGTACTGAATTCAAAAATTTTGAAAGCAGAATTATAAATCCATCTCTTTAATGACAAGTAGGCACTGGCATCCAGGTAAGAAACAGCAGTGGCAACAGAGCTGAGGGCAGGGGGTTTAGGGGAGGCGATCATCAGTCCTGATGCTTACCCACTTCCCCTGAGGAGGTGACCAGAGCATATTTGGGGTCAGATGTGTAGCCCCAAAAGGAGAATGGTGTGAGGAAGTGACCCTTGCCTCTGTGGAGATCAGATTCTCCATCAGTGAGGGGAGGGATAAAGAGAAAGGTTTCCCACATTTGTTTTCATTTCCACATGCATACCTCAATTTCCAAAAATTATTTTTAGAATATCCTTGACATCTTTTAAGTGTCAATGAGTTTGAATTATATACAAAAAAAATGGAATATCTCAGATTTATCTCCATAAGGAATACCTTTGAGGTACATTGAAGATTGGCTAGTTCAACTAGCTTGTTTTACAGGAGAGCAAGGAAGTTCTGAGAAATAGTTTCTTGCTAAAGATCATAGAGCATCCAAGCTGTTCCCCAGCTTAGGGCCACCCAACACGACCGACCTTTTTATTTTATTTTTAATAACCATGCAATTTGAGGGGAAGGTCTTTTTGACTATTCATACTAGGTTAAAGCATTTTTATCCCCACTTCCCTACCCCTCCAACTTAATTTACAAATTTCATTTTTACACAATGTAGGTTTTTATTTAATTTCTTTAGGCATTTAAAATACCATATTTAAATTATCTAAATAATTCATTTTAAACATATCCGGAGTTTCACCAGAGACAACTGAGCTATAGTTTTCTTTAAAGCATGAATCATTTTCTCTGAGCATGGAAATTTCTTACATTAAATAGGTGGGCATAGCATACGACCCACTATTTCATATTTTTTGTGTGAACTGTGATGTATAGGGGGACGGGTCTCTTAGGACCTCAGAAGTGAAATCTTTATGGGAGAAAAGTCAGAAAGCTGAAATAATCCCGCCATTATTTAATGATAATATATCCCCACATTGCTGTACTTTTCCACATACAACAGGAAATAAAATGGCAAAACTTTGAAAGACAAAGGACACAATTAAAGGAAAAACGGCTAAATTCTTTATCTTTGTTTCCAAATAAAATTAGTGGAGATTTTTAAAAAGGCCTCAGATGACCCTAGTATACAAAGATAATACATAGCTACATATTTGCAATGCAGTTTCGCATTGTGATCATTTTTAGAGACTGAAGTAGGTGTGCCTACCAATATCTCAAGCCAGAAGCAAACTCAACATTCGGACAAAGTATGCACCACTGATGATATTGTGAATGTTAATTTTTGGCTAGAGAACTGCACATTAATATGTCTTTACTACAATTCAAGAATAGAAGTTAACGTTGAGAACACATTACATTTAATTGTTATATTTAATACATGCTTCTTAACGAATCTGTTTTTCTTGATTGAAGATCACAAGGGAATTGAATAATTTGGAGAAGTAGTCTAATTTCTCTCTAGTAGGACTAGTATTTACCAACTATTCTTGTGAAAAGACTGACCATGGAAACAAAGTGAAACACATATTTGAAAATTCTGATACTACCGTAAAAAGTGTAAATAGAATACATACTGGATTTAGAAGGATTGTGAGGAACAGTTCACCTCCTCTGATACTTTTGTCCAATTCTTGGGGTCCTCCTGGGTACTCTTTGTAGAAAATCGTGTGGGTGAACAACCCGCAGGTCTGTCGAGGGAGGACCTGAGGCAAAGGGGGAAAAAGCAGCACATTGACGCGACTTCATTAAAAGCTCCATCACTATCTCATGACTGCAGAGTCTGCAAATATCATTTCCTGTTGGAGTTCCTTGGTTGCTAAAGCCAAAGTCTTATTGTATTCAACAGTTGACGTTGGTGTAATTATGTAAATACTAAGTGAGTTGCCAAATAAAGCTATAGGACATAGCGGTTAAAGCATTTTCACTTAGTTCTATAAATCTCAGCTGCCAGCTAAGCTATGTTAAAGAATAGGCAAAAAGTAAAAGCCTTCTTAGGCTTAATTTAATTCAAATATGGAGATTCTGGGCCGGCCCTGTGGCTTGGTGGTTAAGTGCGCGCGCTGCGATGCTGGCGGCCCGGGTTCGGATCCCGGATGCGTATCGAGGCACCACTTCTCTGTCCATCCTGAGGCCGAGTCCCACATACAGCAACTAGAAGGGTGTGCAGCTATGGCATACAACTATCTACTGGGGCTTTGGGGGCAAAAAATAAAATAAATAAAATCTTTAAAAAAAAAAAAAACAAATATGGAGATTCTCCAAGGTTACATTTTACATGATATTAGGCCATTACCCTCCTTGCTTCTGAAATACAGTCTTACATGGGACTCAGGTTCTGGGATTCAAAACAATCAGTTTTCATCACCCCCTCCATCTTAAGTTTGTTTTGGTTTTACTACACTCTGAATTAAAATTTTAATCACAGTAATAGTCAAATCATCGAATCATTGCTTCTGGCATATTCTGTGGTTAATTCTGTTGCAAATCTGAATGTTCAACAGAGAAAGCAAATAAGTAATTTTATTCCAAAAACTTATTTTGAATAATAACCTACTTATGATCTAATGGAAAAATGAATCCAATTGCACAGAGTAGCTGTAATTTTATTTATTCTTTGCTTAATTTTCATAATAGTTTGCATTAAATTCAAAGTAAATGAATTCATGTAATATTAGTTAAAAGCAATGTTTTTATTTCATAATACACAGAATGGTTATGCAACACAATAAAGGGAAAACTGGGTACTTTCACTCTGATTTGAAACTATGTAAGAGTAATATATTTTATATTTCCTGGATTTCTACAGACATCAATACCACTTGCATTATCAATAGCTTCATTTAAATCTGAGGCTTCTTTAGATCTTCTAGTATCAGTTTATAATAAAAAAAATTAAAGTTTATGATTAATGAATTGAGTACTAGCTCTGGTTAGGCATCTGTACTACTGCTTTTTCTTTGGTTTTAGATAGTGATTAGAAAGATAGAGGGAGAGAGAGGAAGAGAGATATAAAGACAGACAGGTAGATAATTCCAATAGCAATCTGAATAATGGATTGGGAAGATGTAAATATTTAAAGAAGAGATAACAGTTTGTAAACCCTTGCTATGATCCAGGCAGCTCATGATGAGAACATGAACTAAGGCCCTGGAAGTGGAAGGAGACATGTTAAGATGGGCTATTTGATCTCAAACTTAAGAATACCACTTTTTGAATTCCAATGAATATTTATAAATTCCCATTTAAAATTCATTTGGGTTTATTCTCATTTATAGAAAACAATACATCATTCTTACATCAGATTATTATTTTTTCAATTAATATCTCTGAAAAGAAAATATATACCTCTGTTTTTGTAGTATGCAAGGAAAAGAGAGATGAACAAGAACAGTATCCTTTTTTTTTTTTTTTTTTTTCTGGGAAAGATTCGCCCTGAGCTAACATCTGTTGCCAATATTCCTCTTTTTTTTTTTTTTCCCTCCCCAAAGCCCCAGTACATAGTTGTATATTCTAGTTGTAAGTCCTTCTCCTTCTTCTATGTGAGCTGCTGCCACAGCATGGATACTGACAGACGAGTGGTGTGGTTCCAAGCCTGGGAACTGAACCCAGGCCGCCGAAGTGGAGCGCTCTGAACTTTAACCACTGGGCCATCAGGGCTGGCTCCTAAGATGTTCTTGAGTGTCTGAAAGCCAAAATAAACTGAGGGGATAAATTTAGCTCTCACATGCTATTTGATAGATTCTGCCTGATGATAGTGTACTTGTGTCTTGAGAGGTGTTTTCTTGATCTATGAACTCACATTTTGCCTGGAAAACTTTCAATAAAACCACCCAAACAGACAGACACAGAGAAACTCCTCAGAAGTATAGAATGTCCAGACAAAACTACAATCCAGAAACTATAGTGGATGATCTATATGAAACTCATTCCCAATATTTTGAACTTGTCTTGGATTTGCTAAAACCACCCCACAGCTTAAGAAGCAAGTTTACAGCCAAACAATATATGAATATGTGACCACCACGGGATGTTAGGAATTTATGATACTCAAGTAAAAGGGGTTTGAAGCTACATTTTGTCTTCATTCACATGTAGATATTAAGACCTTCAAGACACACAGTGGTATGTGCTCACCATGATGCTATTGTGAATGAAGCCCTTTCGGTACCGCGCAGGTTTCAAATGTGGATACTCTTCAGTGCTGGTGACCTGAATACCCCAGACCTTCTTCCAAGCCACGTACAGCTGAATATGAACCGGGTAGACCCCTGAGTGATGTGGCGCCACCGCATAGCCCATGTTGATGGGTATTCCATGTTCCTAAAAGAAAGCCAGAACAACATCATGTGAAGTGTGGTCAATTGAATTCAATTAAAATTGTTTACACAAGCATCCGTTTAGGATACACTGAATTCTAGGCTAAGCATGAGAAATATATAAACTAATAGGATGGAGCTTTTGTCTTGCAGCAGCTCATATCCTACGGAGCTCTGGCGGTACGACAGACACAGTAAATGCTTTGGGAATGTGGTGTGTGGGTGAGAATAATTCTGAACTTTGAATACAGAAAGTTTCAGGGGAAGATAGGCAGAGAACATGGCCCTTCCTCAGACAGATATGGAAAAAAAAGTGTCATTTGAGCAAGTGTCCAAATGTGAGATGAAGGGCACAGTGTGTGTGTGTGTCTGTGTGTGTGTGTGTCTGTGTGTGTGTCTGTGTGTGTGTGTGTCTGTGTGTGTGTGTGCGTGTGTCTGTGTGTGTGTGTGTGTGTGTCTGTGTCTTTGTGTCTATGATGTTGAAAATAACCAGAAAGGTAAGTATGACCATAAAGTGATGAGCCTTTAGCTAAACTTAGGGGTTGGAATTAATTCTATTTGAACAGTGTAGACAAGCAAGCTCTCTGAGCATGGAGGGCCAAGATCTGCTTTATGTTTTAGGAAGAGGGATCTAGTGACACCCGGTTAAGATGAACTAGAAGTGGGGGAGGAACGAATCAAGGCTGTGCATTAGGAAGCTATTGCAATGGTGGAGATTAGAGGGAACACAGGTACCTAAACTAGATTTTTAGTGGTAGGAATAAAAGCCAGGGGATTAATGCCATACAAGATCCAATGACGGTTTGGATACAGAGGATAAAGAAAAAGTAAAGATTAAAGTTCTCCCCTTGGTTTTGGACCTTAGCAGCTCAATTTATTTTTATGAAACATACAGTTTACTATGAGATGCTTGCCTTGGGTTAAACAGTCAATTCTAAAAGAAAATAGCTATAAACTTAAAATAAGAATATGAAAAAATTGTCAAAGAATGGTATTATGGCGCAAGGTCCATGATACAGATCTGCAGTTTTCTACTTTCTTCTTCTTTACATTTCTCCCTTTAAATGCTTATCTGCTTTATAAAGACTCCTTGTAGGATTGAATCTCATCAGTTGAGGTTTTAAATGACAATATACAGTAATATATGAAAGCTGATTGAATCAATAAACAGGACACAAAGGTGTTGACTTGACAACTGCCATTTATATTTTCTGTTACATGGCACACAGCATGGGAGAAGCATTCAATCTGGCATAATAAGCAAGCAGTGAATGGATCACATATCTACAAAGCCTAAATCATATGTCACACTCAGCTCAGAAGATGGGCCCTAAAGATTTCACAAAGCTCCATCATTCTTCCTTTCATGGAATGACCCTCACTGTACAGCCAAATTCACCTCTCTTTCATGAAGACTATGTGTTTTCTAACATCTATTACAATAAATGACTCTGTAGAAAGACTGAAATATGAAATCAATGCTATAAAATGAGCCAGAGTCTTCTGCTAGGTACTAGGGAAAATTCATTTCTTTGAGTGTGCAGAAGAAAAATACTTCTTCCAGGAGCTTATATTTTCAATACAAGGCAAGGTTGAAAAAGTCCAGTAACAAAACTACTTGGAAGCTACCAGAGGGAGCAGGCAGCTACTGTTCCCTGTACATCGCTGAGGGATATGTACTGGGAAATGCCTCACTTCTCTCTGGTTAGTTCCATGCTGCCCAGTGAATTGCTGCAAAGCATTCTGGGGATGAGCATCATAGGGAAGCCAAGATGTGGATGCATTAGGTGTGATATACAGATGAACCTCCTCATGAGAGAAATCTAGGGTCAAAGATGTTCAAACCTCTTGGTCTGGTAAATAGAATTTGTGTGACTGCTGCTTAGCAAAGTATTCCTGACTTACAAGAAAAGGAAAAAAATCTGTTATACTCTTATCACTCCTTCAAGTGGTTCATACTGAGGTTTTGTAACCATCTTGTCCCATCATTTCAAAAATAACAAAATCAACAGTGTATGAATCTTCATAGTCTACACTAATCACTTTATTAGTCCTCATTTTCTATCACTGTATAATATTTTATTCCAAATTTGGGGCCTAGACCACTAGATAAGTATGTGAATGTTCTATAACAAAGAGATGGAAAATAAAATTGTGAAGAAAATTGAAACATCATACAACTGTATCTCGGGGCTGGCCCCCTGGCATGGCCGTTAAGTGCGCGTGCTCTGCTGCTGGCGGCCCGGGGTTCGGATCCTGGGCGCGCACCAACGCACCGCTTGTCAGGCCATGCTGTGGCGGCGGCCCACATAAAGTGGAGGAAGATCAGCACGGATGTTAGCTCAGGGCCAGTCTTCCTCCGCAAAAAGAGGAGGATTGGTGTGGATGTTACCTCAGGGCTGATCTTCCTCATACACACAAAAAAAAAATTAAAAAAGAAAAAAACAACTGTATCTCTTCAGGAAAAAGAAAGACATTTCACTTTTGACAGGTAGTAAAATGAATTGTAGAACTTTCTTGAAAAACCAGAAGGTAAAAAGCAATTGATTTGGTGAGTAGGAAGGAAGAGGCAGTAAAAGGATTTTATTATATTTATTGATTTCTGGGGGCTCAATGTTATACTGCTTATAAGGTCATCTTACCACACTGACAACCAGAGCTCAATCAAAACAGTAAATCACACTAGATAATTATGAGTTTATACTTTTTCAATCTAAATGATAACACAAAATGAAAAGTAATTCCCCAGTAACTCTTTTTCTGTTATCAAGGAGCTTACTGAGCTAGAAACCTTCATTCTTTACTGTCCAGAGCATAAAACCCACTTCACAGAGACTTGGTCAACTAAAAAGTGAACTAAACATTATATTTATACAAGATCACAAAAATGACAAAATTTGAAAGACTTTCTAACGTGAATATATGAGGCATTTGAAACTATAAAAATTCAAACATGGGTTTTATTATTTAGTAAAACAATGTCTGTTACAGGATCTAGGAATCCTGATATTATAATATGACATGACACCACAAATATTTACAGGGGAGTTTAACTTGATCTAATTTTTCCAATTACATTAAATTCCCAGTTGATTGGGAAATGAGATAATATGGTAATTTACAGACTATGTAAAAATAGGGTCACCGTTTTTCAAAACCTAGAATAAAATAAAATATATTTAACACTAAACCTCTGCCAGAAACAGACATGATCTCATTTAATTTTTCTTTGATCATTCCTCCTGATCCTATCTGCTTGCAATTGCTTAGTACATGATATTTACAATGTGTTTTTACGTTCATGCCTAATGTGATCCTCAGAATTACCCTGTGAGGTGGCGCAGACATTATTATCAGATGCGGAAACTGAGGCTCAGAGAACGCAAACGACTTGCTTATGTTCACAAATGTCAGAGCTAGAATTACACCCAAGTCCTCTCAATTCATAGGTTTTGCTTTTGCTTTTCTACTAAGTTGCTACTACTGTGACCCCACAGTTAATGACTGGAAGCATTTTCTGACAAAAGGGAATTGATTTTAACATATATTTCTGAACTGGAACTCTTATCCTTTCCGGTTTTACTTGGAGAAGTTATAAAGCAAAATCATACATTTCCCAAACTCCTCTGCAGCTATCCTCTTGGATGGAAACATGGTTCAGCCAATTAGAAGTACCTAGGACAGATTTGAGAAAGCAGTAGGTGGGCAGAGCTAACGTCTGGCAGCTCCAGGTTCCTGTTGCTGGCAGGTAAGATCTTGAAAACAAGAGACTTTTCTGAAGCAGTATTTGGCGCCCTTTTGCAAGGCAGTGGTGGAAACATTGCTTCTGCCGGAGCTCCAGTGACAGCTTCAAAAGCGGTCGCTCCCCAGGGAACCAGTTCTGCCTGGCTCTGTGAGTCCCCAGAGGAGTTCAGCCTGGAATCTGCTCCATCAGGCCTTCCAGTGTATTTGGAGGCACTTAAATCATTGACTAAAAGCTCTCCCTCTTTAAAAAAGCTCCAAGTGGCTCCTGTCTCTAGCATGGAAACCTGACTGACACAGGCGGTCTTTGCCCCTTTCTGATCAGTATAAAAGTTTTAAGGGGTTCAGGTGAGATGTCAGTGTTTTGAATTCTAGGAAAACAGAGGAAGAGCTTGCTAAACCACTGCCCAATATTTCTCCAAGAAAATTCATTGATATGTGGCAAACACCTATTTGGCTAGCTGGATACTATCGTTTTATATATATGACTATTAAATCTTCTGTACTGATCAGCCAATGGCTAGAGTATACAGAAAATAAATAGGAGACTAGTCTATTTAAATAATAAATACCACAGGTGTTTGACACAGGTCAATACTGTGGTCAAACCGTACAGTGTAGGTACCATAAAGAAGGGGAACAAATTCTACTGAAAGGACATTGCTCTAACAGGTTAATTTTGATGACCACAAGCACCTGTGTGCCAGCATGCACCCCTTCATGAGGATAACCACCTCCTAATAAATGGACAAAGAGATATGTAGGCATCACATGCAGAGGTAGAAAGAACCATTGGTGAGCATGAGCAGCACTCTGGTCAGCCAATGGTAGATACTTTTTAGAAGACCTGACACACCATAGGGAGCCAGAGAAAGAAAGGAGAAAAATGGGAGTTGGAAGGATTGGGCTCATGGACATACAGGGGACATTCCTGGATCTCTCACAAATAGCTGGACAGAAACCTGAAGAATGAATGGAGGTTTTCATACAGAGAGAAAAAAGTCAGACAAATGTCATTTTCCCTATTATTATGACCTTATGTTTGTACTCCAAGAGATATGGCATGTGAAACTAGCCCATAATATACTTAGGATGGTTTTATATCCCCTTGCTTAGCATCATGCCTGACACATTTTTGGTGTTTAGTAAATATTTTTTAAAGGAAATAATAAGTTTAAAAAGTTATTAGATAAATTCAGCATAGATGTTTAATGAATGAATATAAAAAGAAAGTAAATGAAATAATGGTCTCATAAATGAATG